CTACACCTACAGCCAGCACACCCCGAGACACTGTACAGGTCAGTGGAGTGGGTGATGACACGTATCCGGGAATCTAGTCACCAAAGACAAAATACCATTAAGACTAGTAAACGACAGTAACCTACACAATCTAAACAAATCATTAGTCGATAGTGTGTGTCCTGTCCGTCATGTCCAATGCCCGAGTGTTGACCGGTCGGTACCGATGTCAGCTGAACGTAACGCCTATGTCTGGACGTTAAACTTCGAGAATGTCCGGCATCTGTATCCATTCGGATTCCCTCGTCCCATTACGTTGCTTATTGGTTCGCCGAGTTGTTCTGCGGACTTTGTCTCCGAAAATGCATTCAAATGGGCACATTCCAACTTTAGAATTAAATAAGACTGATCATAAAGACTGGTTTCGCAAAAGGTAATCAACGACACCCATGTGACTTCGTTGGAGTACTAAGTAAGGATACAAATTTATGGATGAACAACTTCTTTATTACAATTAAGAGCGACGTTTCGGTGTATGTTCTAACACCGTTATAAAGCAAGTGATATACAGAGTAAGGCTGATAACGGTGTTAGAACCTACACCGAAACGTCGCTCTTAATTGTAATAAAGAAGTTGTTCATCCATAAATTCTTATCCTTACTTGACGCCTATATGACGTTTAATGTGTGTTGTGTACATGCACGCAGCACACACGAACGCTTATTGCAGAATTAGCTAGCAACTACAGCCATTAGCAACCCCGTAGGGACAATTTTATACTCCAACTTAAAATGCTGTACATTGTCAATTTACGACACAAAATGAAGAAACATGTTTGAAATTTCAACCTTCCAAAGGAAATTTGGTGTAGTCAACATATTATACTAATACGGTAACAAGAGATGAGTCATCGTGTCGGTGTCAACAACTGGTCTCACAGCTTCTATTGACCAATTGGATTTTAGCATAGACATGCGTGCGTGTGTGTGTGTGTGTGTGTGTGTGTGTGTGTGTGTGTGTGTGTGTGTGTGTGAGAGAGAGAGAGAGAGAGAGAGAGAGAGAGAGAGAGAGATACACTAATGTACATAAAACAATTACCCTCTCCCCTTATGCTAGGAATATGTTTGGATGACCCTCCCCATGATAGGAGTTTTATCACACGTATCTCCAAATCAAACAAGGCTTTTTCGTGACTCTCCCCTAAAAAATGTGTATCTTTCTATGACCCTCCCCTGACCCCCCCCCCCCCCCCCCCCCGACCCTCCACTACCCTATAATAAATGACTTGTCCCTCATATGTTTGATATCTAATAACGTCTACATTCTGTCAAAGTTAAGACACCCTTGAATATACCTCGTGCTTTAAGTTAATATACTCAACAACAAAAGTTCCTGTGACACCAATATTTTAGTGTATTTTATTGTCCATGTTAATACGTGAAAATGTGGATAGTAAGTGAGCGAGTAAGTAACATCACAACAATGTCAGTTTTACCCGGGGTTGTTTGCTTATGAACAGTGAATCGGGAAAAAAGTATTAGCTGGATTACACATGGACCAATAATTCCACTGTACAAAGACTTCAGAAAAACTTTCTGACAACAGAACTGGGGGGTTTATACCCTCAGGCAAATACACCACTTCGATCGTCAACGAAATGTTTACTCTTAGATGTCGATGTTATTGTGTGTCCGGCGGTTGGTCAACGTCGGGATCTTTGGAAAGAAACCCCAAACACATTGACGTGTACAAAGATGACACCTGTATTAGGTGAGCTAAGGTTTAAGTTTCAGCACCACGTGACTCCATAACTAATTTACCCCGCTGTTCTCAGGAAAACCTTTTTTACAAACGTTGTCAATCATTTCATCAAATACTTATCAAGTCCTCCATTTTATTTTGTGATTTGCCCACATATTTACACACATGCGCTATATAACACTCGGCACACAGGTCACGTGAGACAATTAGACTGAGGGCCGCTGTAGTGGCAGCGTGGTGTTGACGTAACTACAGTAACAGCGCTGATACAATGGAGGGTTGAACTGAAGCTGTCATGACTGGGTTCGAGATGCTGGTGCAAAAAACTGACCTTTGTCTCTCAACCATGCGCCCTAAACATAATATAACAGAAACGTTGCAGAGTGCTTATTCGTCAATGCAGGATGTGCTTCGTCAGCATATTTGCCACCGATGACATTCTCAATATCCACTGTAATAACAGGTGATGTGTTCAAGTTTTATTCAGAGAGAAATAATTACTTATCCTCTTTCACCGTACATTGTGAACACCTACATGCCTGGCTACCAACTGTACGTCGCCCAGTAGACGTAGACATTGTTTGATCCTCCCAGTACATCATGACATTAATTGATCCTCCCAGTACATCATGACATTAATTGATCCTCACAGTACGCCGACATGTTCCGTACGGGTAAGGCTTCACTCCCACTGCACGACATGTTCCGTACGGGTAAGGCTTCCCTCCCCACTGCGCGACATGTTCCGTACGGGTAAGGCTTCACTCCCACTGCGCGACATGTTCCGTACGGGTAAGGCTTCCCTCCCCACTGTCCAACATGTTCCGTACGGGTAAGGCTTCCCTCCCCACTGTCCGACATGTTCCGTACGGGTAAGGCTTCCCTCTCCACTGTTACCCTCCCCTCCCCACTGTCCAACATGTTCCGTACGGGTAAGGCTTCCCTCCCACTGTCCGACATGTTCCGTGCGGGTAAGGCTTCCCTCCCCAATGTTACCCTTCCCTCCCCACTGTCCAACATGTTCCGTACGGGTAAGGATTCCCTCCCCAATGTTACCCTTCCCTCCCCACTGTCCGACATGTTCCGTACGGGTAAGGCTTCCCTCCCACTGTCCAACATGTTCCGTACGGGTAAGGCTTCCCTCCCACTGTCCGACATGTTCCGTACGGGTAAGGCTTCCCTCCCCACTGTCCGACATGTTCCGTACGGGTAAGGCTTCTCTCCCATTGCGCGACATGTTCCGTACGGGTAAGGCTTCACTCCCACTGCGCGACATGTTCCGTACGGGTAAGGCTTCCCTCCCCACTGTCCGACATGTTCCGTACGGGTAAGGCTTCCCTCCCACTGTCCGACATGTTCCGTACGGGTAAGGCTTCCCTCCCACTGTCCGACATGTTCCGTACGGGTAAGGCTTCCCTCCCACTGTCCGACATGTTCCGTACGGGTAAGGCTTCCCTCCCCACTGTCCGACATGTTCCGTACGGGTAAGGCTTCTCTCCCATTGCACGACATGTTCCGTACGGGTAAGGCTTCACTCCCACTGCGCGACATGTTCCGTACGGGTAAGGCTTCCCTCCCCACTGTCCGACATGTTCCGTACGGGTAAGGCTTCCCTCCCACTGTCCGACATGTTCCGTACGGGTAAGGCTTCCCTCCCACTGTCCGACATGTTCCGTACGGGTAAGGCTTCCCTCCCACTGTCCGACATGTTCCGTACGGGTAAGGCTTCCCTCCCACTGCGCGAAATGTTCCGTACGCTTCAGGGTCTCTCGGTTAAGGCTCGGTGCCACATTATTTTCTCGGAGACATCTTAATTATTTTAGAGATGCACAACAGCCCTCCCTTAACATAGCGATCTTACCAGTATGGCGATCATAATTCCCATCTTTCAACATATACCTACAACAGGCGCACCCTTGCAATGACTTCGTGAAACGGGACCTGTGTATATATCAACTGCTTGACAGTGACGTTACATGGACAGACAAACCAGGTGACTCGTGACAAGTTGCATCACCTTGCAATCGCACTGTTACCGGAACCCTGTCTGTCTGTCTTCCCAGTCAAACCCAACCCGACCACCACCGACAGGTACACGCGAGGCATGACGGCGTAACTGTCGTACACGATGGCGTGACAGAGGTAAAACTGGTTCTACACGAATCAAGGAAAAAGCAACATTCTATACATACACTGCGGGGATCTTTGTCGCCATCAGCATGGCATGCCCTACCGGTCATTGGCACAAACTATTTTTGAAAATGGGATTCCATAGTAGACGCACACTCTTCTGAAACTCGTCATTTAGAATTCCAAATTTCTTAGAAATATGAAACGTGAAGATGAAACGCTTTAACCAGTAGGCTACCCGACCGGCCCTCTGGGTTGACGAGTTATTGTAGGGAGTAAGACAGTGAGATATATAAACATGTAGCCCTATCAGTAATTGAGTAGAATGAAAACAATATCTTTACCAATAATATAAATATTATTCAATAAATGTTTAAAATATTTCGACTATTCTACACAATCACTTTTATATACGTTTGAATTGCTGGATAATTTCGATTATTGGACTGAATGTGGATGCTACAATGTGGGACTTCCGGTGTGTGGTACATTAGGGTGTGGTGTAAACTGTCTGGGACGGGCACCAACCCTAGTGTCTCACACAGACCCCGAACAAAAATATCAAAAACCTCCCAAGACAATGTTCTATACGTCAGCAAGTCTAGATTTTATTCACTTTCAGGCCCGTGAAGGTCCGGCGTAAAGTAGGTCTTCAGCAACCCATGCTTGCCGTAAAAGGCGACTATGCTTGTCGTAAGAGGCGACCAACGGGATCGGGTGGTCAGGCTCGCTGATGTCAATCCCTGGATTGTCTGGTCCAGATTCGATTATTTACAAACCGCCGTCATATAGCTGGAATATTGCTGAGAGCGGCGTTAAGCAACAAACACTTTCAGTTTCTCACATTAGGGGGGTTTCCGATTGTAGGTTCCCGGATTTCAGTTTCGGCTTATTTGTGAATATCAATATCCCTAAGGCATTGTTTTCTTCATTAAGCTATAACTGTATATACACACAGGGTGAGTACGAGCACGATCATACTTGGCATTATTCTAGTTTGAAAACTCCGGAGAGACCTTGTTAGCCGTAGAACAAGACACGGGACTTGAAACAAACGCACCGACTTGTGTATGAACACATGATTAGCAATAGTGAATTGTCATTAACTAATTTGTTTATTTCTTTACAGGGCAGGAATTGCAGGAATGGCCAGGGGAACTTTTCCGGCCACAGGTTAGTACTGTCCATTTTTGAGAACTTAAATTACCAGTGTAAATGTACAATGTGCAGACATTGGTGTTCACAAACCAAGAAATATCAAATTTTGCGAAGTGAATGAATTATTGCGCGAGTCGACGTCACCAGAATTGTGTTGTGGCCCAAGGAGCAGAATAGGTCCCCAGTACTATGGTGGCCGAGAGGGGACTTCATGTAAGGGTCGACAAAGCCATAACACAATAAAGCGATATTGTTGCGCGTGATGTTGTGCCGCTTTCTCGCAACCGTAATTGAAGTTGATAACGCGATGTCCCCAATCGGCCACCAAACAGTATGAACTGGGAACCAGATGGTTACAATGGATGTCCCAGTATCATGCTTAATGGAGGTGACTTAATGAATCAAGTGGACAGGCTCCGTTACTTGGTTGATTCCTTATCATCGTCATTGCTCAAGCTATCAACCACTGGCTTGTTATTTCGCTGATTTACGGATGAAATATTTCTGACACTAGCGTAAACAATATACAGTCACTGTGAGCCAGAAAATTACCATAGCCATGTTGTTCCTAGTGGCCACATATATAGAGCAGACGTGACAAACTCGTCTGAATAGCAGACGACATGTCCGCCATTTTAATTCAGGAAAATTTCATTCAGGAGTGACGTTTGATGTTTCTCTTTGCTGTGTTGCAGGACCAGTGCAACCGGGGATGTACATGCGCAGATCTCAAGGGAGTGCGAGTGAGTACTGGTGGCGTGGGGCCAGGTGCGGGGAACATGTCTGCCTGTTGGGGGTGACCTGACCCTCGTGGTATGTACGCTTGGCTACCGACACATGGATGACGTACGGCGCACACAAACCTGTTTCACAACGGTTTTGTCTGGTCATTTGTTTGATGTAAAAGTGTAATAGATGTGTATTTAGGGATGGGAATGTTAAAGCATACAAGGTCGTTCCCAGCCACCCACATCAGACTTCATACAATAATGTAAACCGTTTGCCTAGGTCATAGTAACTTGGCCCAGGTGTGGCCCAGAGGTCTACGGTGCAGAGTTGCAATCCTTAGTCGTACAAGGATCCGATTCGTCCCGATTATCATCCTAAGCATCATGCTTATTCACCAGCCCGTTGAACATCAAGGATAGAATAGGTCTTTAGCAACCCGTGCTTGTCATAAAAGGCGACTATGCTTGTCGTAAGAGGCGACTAACGGGATCGGGTGGTCAGGCTCGTTTACTTGGTTGATGCATGTCATCCTATCCCAATCACTGGATTGTCTGGTCCAGACTCGATTATTAACAGACCGCCATCACGTCTACTGCATGAAAGCGGCGTTAAACCCAAGTCACTCACTCACTCACCACTAAGACTATCGTGTTTTTATCTGCTGGAAATAAAGAGATCGATATTATCTAGGGTTCATTATGAATCAGGGTCTCGGGTCGCAATGCAGTGTTATTTAACTTGCAGAGCCTCCACTGTATGTTGCGTGTTCAGGCAAAGTTTAAACTGTGTATTTTGCCGGTCTGAGTAACCCGATTGATTCAAACCTGATACGACTACAAGTTGTTCTATGTTGAAACAACAACTGTCGGATGTCATTAAAACTGTAATTTCATTTTTACATGACTGATGGGCTGTGTGTGTAACATTTCATTTGTTGACCATTCACTAAGCTGAAGAAGAGAATTCCTTATGTTAACATGTTTCCTATGTGAGATTGAGGCCTCCCAGCAGCATGTGAACAATTGACACCATAATCTATTTATCTCTCATTTGAAATATATCCTATTTCAGTTAAGAAAAAAATCAGCTTCTTATTGTTTGTCCGTGCAGCTGTAATGCAGTTAAGATCCATTGTATACCTCAAACACCCAACACCTTCACACCCATGTAGACATGAAGTAAGACTCAATCATATACACGAGTACACACCCACACAAGGAGCTTTTGTTGAGACGTTTTCAAAGCAGGGGGCACCGTCTACATACACGTATGCTTACAGTATCACATTTGCCACATCGATACCATGAAAATGCTCTTTGTTTGATCCTTTGTATTGTTTTACAAGAACCTTCAAGGATATGTGTGGAAAGTTATCATCACATCAGAGACGCACCTTGCATTTAGTGATTCACCTGTATGTCAGTCTGTCTCCCGCCAGGTGTGACTGCTCAATCAAGTCGGGGCCTACCTGTGCAGCCAGGTAGAATAAGGAGCACTGTAGACGTTACCTGGCGGCGTGTTGTCCTGTTACGAACCCCCGAACGACGGGGACGTCTCAGGTCAACTCGTGCAAGATCTGAAACAGCCTACCTCGAGTGTATCAATGATTTTTTGTATTCCCTAAAGTGGGATGGACTTACTATCCAGAAATGGGTTATTGGTTGGGGGTGGGTTTTGATTATTTTGTACATTGTAAAATTGTGACTGTCATAAGCACGTGCTTGTGGATCAACACCAAATAGTGATGACACCAGGTGTTCGCTATAAGGTGAGCCTGAAGAAAGGGAACATATGGTCCAAATCAAAATGGGGAATTGCATCGGACATCAGTTTTGTGACTGCGTCTAATGTCTACCATAAAACTGTTTGAAAGGTTTACTGAGGCCTTGAATGTTGTAACCCTGACAAAAAACTTTTGAGCTGGAGACTTTGAAATGTTAGTGGGAAAGCTCCATTGTACATAAAAACATGAGGCTCGAGTTGATGAAATATTGCTGGACATCAAGGGAAAGCTGTGAGTATTGGAAAGTTTAGGTCACCCCTCTTGATTAATTGTGGATAGTAAAACACACACGTCACATCTGCGTTGTTTCCGCCACAATATCTTCCTAAACACTGGTGACAACTTGGTTTCTGGTTTTGGTTATAACCAAAATTGTGTTTCCAGGCAACGTCAACAATGTAGATGTGTAATGACAACACAACGAGTATGAGTCAATCGCTTAAGTTCAAGAACATGATTCGGGCGTCGGGTGCTTGCGTCATAAGCCCTTCTGACAAGAAACGGTAATACGCATGTCGGAAGTACACCCGGGTTTCACACTGACATCGTCCTCGGGCTGAACATTCACACAAAATACAATGTGGAAGTACGGCATACATTTCTTTCCCGTCTGTTCTTAAGGGACATCTGTTTATGCTGAGTTAACAAAACAGCTTTGTTCTTGGGAATATTAACAAATCGGCATGGTGGTAAGACGACATGATGACGCAATAGCAGCGCACGTGCATCAGCAGACGACCTTCTTGCACAAGAGAAACAATGCAGGTGCTCATTAGTGCATGCCGGCATAGTCTCTAATTGACTGCGACATTCATATCGTTTGTGCTTCCTTCATGTTCTTGGGTTAATTCTACTTGATAGTGCAACACATTACCTAATTGATAGTGCAACACATTGCATATTTGATAGTGCAACGCATTGCATATTTGATAGTGCAACGCATTGCATATTTGATAGAGCAACACATTGCCCACTTGATAGTGCTAACACCTTTAAACTCTTCTGTGAATCAAATAGATGTTGATGGTGGATAGGTTTAATGATGGCATGGCGACTATAGTGAACATTCCCATGATGTACAACGTTAAACCAGTATGATGAAGACATGCTATTGTTCTTACAGCTGACACTGAGCCAGGAAGACACCAGCCATTCTGAATCTGTATTATAAACAAGTAGAACTGACGCAACCAATATTATGGATAAATTATATATCCACCAGAAACTTGATTTAGTCGGAGACATCACACTAATGTGTTGATTCCGGAAGTGGAATCGACTAGCCCCTTTTGGGGGGAGCTCGTTGATTCTACTTCCGGAATTATAAGATTCCCACGATTTCTCCATTACTTATCATACGACAAACGCAGAAAGGAAGAATAAACACCGATGTTAAGAATAGCAGCGCAATCTTGTGCTTAATGTGAGTTAGTTTTGTTTTACGCCGCTTTTAGCAACACTCAAGCCTTTTGACTGTTGGGGTTGGCCAGAGTCCGCTGGTCGTGGGCTCGGATCTTAGATTCCCCCAACTTCCAGTTCCTGTTGGCACCATGCCGGCTCGGGGCTTTCACCAAAGTAGTTGGTTTGTTGGTTGGTTGGTTTATCTGTTGTTTATAGTCGCACTCAGCAAATCTGCAGCTATGTGACCAGACAATCCAGTGAAATTCTGTTCAACGCGGGTTCAGACCCAACTCCCTCACTCACTCGATGTTTATTTCCTTTTTGTTTGTTGTGTAACGCCGCACTCAGCAATATTCCTGTCTGAAAATAATCGAGTCTGGATCAGACAATCCAGTGATAATACAATGAGCTTCGAACAACACAATTGGGATACGATGACATACATCAATCAGCGAGCCTGATCACTGTAGACTCACAGGACAAGTATAGTCGCCTCTTACGACAGTCATGGGTTACTGAAGACCTTTTCTACTCCGGATCTTCACTGGCGGTGTATTTCCTAGCTTGTACAGATCCCTCGTCGCACGGTATTACCAAGTTTAAAGTAAGTTGTTGACTCTCCGTGATAGTCCGACGATTACCACAAGAGATTGGTAGGGCGATTTCTCTGTGTTATTTCAGAATATGGATAACAAACTCACGTTACCATATATCATCCCGATCTCTGAACACAGGGCTTGATACCACCTACATGGCGTCAAATTTAAAACCTAACCTCATTCACCCGGATATCAGGATTGCTGCGCGTGAAGCACGTGCTGCACGTGCTGGAAGTACATCTGCTGCAGGGATGCAGTTCTCGAGACATTTGTGCTCCGCGTGGCGGTGATATTACATTTGCTCCACTCAGAGGATGTTGGGGAAATTGAACGCGGATGTTTATTCTGATTCTAAGTGATGTGCTCGTAAAAATGTAGCCCAGTTTAATTGTGTATCGTTAAAAGTAATTCAGATAAACACGCTTATGTAACATAACCAGGTTTACTTACCAAAGGCATCCAAGGAATAGCAAGTCTGAAGCCATACAGATATGGGTGGGGGCGTACACAGCAATCTTAGCCCTGAGGTGATCGTAAGTCCCATACCTACCACAACACAGACTTACGACAGTCGTAGCGCTAGGCACCATGGTCCACATTTAAAGATCTGTTTTAAGATTTGTATTTTTTTAACGAGACAAAATATACTGAACCAAATTAAAAACTTCACAATCCTAAAATTTTAACATTTTGACCAGTTATCATTGTGGGCCCTTATTGTGTATTTAAACAGTAATGGCCACGCATTGTCTTCAGATAACACCCGATTTTGTGCAGGTGAATCGATCAAAATCATGTGCACAGCACTATAGTGGCAAAAGTGGTTTTTCACGTGCAACTGGTCACGTGGCCATAATACCGCACGTGTTTTCAGCCATACTTGTTAGCAGTCATTAACGAAAAAAGAAACACACATGAAAACAAAGTCTTTACGGCCATTTGTCATGCCACGCCTTTCAAATGTGCAACGTGAACGTGCCATCGGCATGTTGCAGACGGGAACGTCCGTAGCTGAAGTCGCAAGGACGATGGGTTGAAGTCGACGGACTGTTTATGATTTACAGACGCGTCTACAGCAAACGGGTACCACCGCTGGTCGCCCTCGGCCAGGTCGACCACGTGTGACGTCACATGCAGAGGATCGTCAGATTGTCTTACGTCACCTCCGTAACCGATTTTTGACGGCTACATCAACCAGAAATGAACTGTTTAGGGGTAGACTGAGTGCGCA